AGACCGAGTTGGTTCCCTGGGACGAAGAGACAGAAGCGAGCGGTTGGGACCTTTTTGCGGAGACGGGACCCGGAAGCAGAGGTCCGTCCTTTGTTACTTAATGTTTAGGATATCCTATATAATATTATTAGGTTTTGGGATGGGGGGACCAGAAGGTCAGAGGTCCTAAAGTCCTTCTTCCGCGGTTTTTTCTGGTTTTTGGAAGGTGCCTTTTGGGGGACCAGAAGAGATAGGTCCTGTTCTGTTAGTAAGCGGTTTTGGGGGATCAGAAGAGAGAGAGAGAGAGAGTAAGCATGGAAGTCTGCAGAATTGTCTGTCAAACTTGGTCTGGTGTGATGGATGAAAAGGCAGAACTTCCGCATAATAGTTGAAAGATACATAGGATTGTATAAGTCCTATTGATAGAACCACCCGGACTGTCAGCCAGAATGGGATGCCGGGACTTCAACCATGTTTCACTTTCGGGGCCGGGTGCAGGGCGGGTAGGTTGCTAGCTTAAAGCTTCAGGGGATGGAAACCCTGGCATCAGGAAGAGATTGGACTGGTGATCCAGAAAAATCGGATTAAAAAACAACGACCAAAAGGGAGACGTGTCCAAAGGTCCAGCAAAGTTCATGCATGAGACGGGTGACATGAAGTGCTTGGCAATATGTGGGGATCTTTGCAAATGGACTCGAGAGTTGAGGGCTTCGGGCCGTTCCGGAGTTTCTTGTGGGAGGGCAGTTTCGGCATGTGGGAGGAAGATGAGCGCGAGAAGACCCCTGAACGCGTTTAGTCCTATTAGTCTTAAGGTTCTTCCGTAATAGAGCGTCCTTTCTTTCGTCCTGACATGAGAGACCAACCATTATTCATCGTCAAAAGCGACCAGTGAACTGCTTATGTTTTGCCATTCGAATACTCTTTGGGTGAGAGTGACCTTCTGAATCAACATGAAGTGGCCCTTGGGCAGTCTGGGCTGGTTTTGATGTTGATATAATTGTCGATACTTCTTGCCGCCTTGCGGTGTTCTTTTTTGCCATCCATACACATGCCCACAGGTGGGAGGACATGTGACCCCCAAATGCTTCGAACAGTGAAACATACAATTGAAGACGTACTACCGACAGTGCTCTCTCTCTCTCTTTCTTTTCTCCCACAGTGACCCCCATAGAAATGTTTTGAAACCGTGTTTTGGATGCTCTATTTGTGCACTGCTTCTTTTGGTCTCAAGAAACCGACCGTTGCAGTTACGCTTGTTAAACGAGTGCCGTTAAGTTAAGCAAGCTTATCAAAGAAACACTCACAACACTCACTTCTTCTCAGGTGGAGAAGATCTTGCACCTGGGACTCGCTTTTGAGCGGTTTCTTGGGAACTTCTATAGCTCTAGACATTGACATACCTTCTCAGGAGGTACTTGGGCCCTCCAAGCCTAACAGTCTCTCCAATCACCTTCTGAGAAGGTACTTGGATCTCTAGAGTAGGTGAGACTTCTTTTTCGGAGCTTCATCACTCCCGAAGAGGGGCTAGCCAGAAGACCTTTTTGCGAATCCATGAGATGGAATGGACAAGAAAGGTGATCATGGCTTTGGTTAGAATCTAGCTCGGGTCTCGTGAAGATTCCAGGTTGGCAGTTTGGGTTGTGGTGTACTCTTTAATGGACATGCTTATACATGATTCGACACCTGGAACATGTCTTTATGCATGATGCTATGTATATATATATATATTGTATATAACTGAATATTTTGGGTATCTAAGTGGTTGATTTGCATGGCATGGTCATTCTGGAGATCACATGTGCAGAAGGCTTTGCTGAGGTCCAAGACAGGCCAAGACCTCAAAATGACATCCTCAACCTCAGTCTCATTCAGTTGTTCGTTGAGTGTGCCGAGTAACAAAGGACTACTCAGAACTACATGTTTGTCATGTTCAAGCTAATCCCATAGAGGAGGTTTGCTGTTCCTCCACGAGAGAAAAGATTACAAAAGTGGCATCCCAATCCCGGGTGGCCCCAAGTACTTCTAGGATCTTCTAGGCAGATGCATGGGCATGCAACGAGCATGTAGATGTGTCATGTTCATTCATGTTCCATTGGAACTTGGGGGGATTTGGGCACCCTCTACACATACGTAAGGCACAAACATCGCCTTCCAAGCACCTCAACTTGCGCTCTCACATAAACAAAAAGGCCGGTGTTTGATCGCTTCACCACTCTCACTGCCAGGCAGTGGTGTGCCAGCAGCGGCACTTGGACCTTGGAAGACTTCGAGGCTCAGCTCCGGGAACGACAGCTGCGCCCCCGCCGGAAGAGCGACGAGTGCGGCCGCTGCGGCACCAAGCACCTCAAGGCCCCAACGCGGCGTAAACCGGACACCCCACGCGGCACGCGGGAGGTGGTGAGACAGACCATTTCTAACCATCATCATCCACTGTTACAGGTAATAGGATAGACCCAAGGTATTATATACCTCATATAATTCAAACAGATGGTGAGACAGACACTCAATGTGTTCCTTTTTGGTTCACCAGATGGGTTTGCTTGGGTTCATAGGTGGCCGCCACACCTGTGCCACACACGCTGCGCTGCGGGTTCGCGTGGGAGCTTTCGGCCGTGGGGTTGGTGGGTTTTCTGGGTGTTTTCCGTGTTCAACGACCTTCACCACAACATCCAAGCGCTAACCGAGCTGAATGCGATGGTCACCACCACGGAGTATGGACATCGTCGAGCATCGCTGGGCATGCGATGTGGGTGTCCAAAGTGTTTTGGGCAAGACGATTCGTGGCGTTTTCCTGGTGCTCTTGGAGTGGTGACATGAATGAACCTTGACTGATTCGTTGCGCAAAATCTCTCCAATCATCTCCAAGTACATGTCGTACTGTCGTATGTTAGATCATGGCTAGATCCTTTGTTGAACTCATCGATGGACCATGGATCTTGATTCACAGTTCTTCGGCCCGACTCCCACAAGTTCTACACCCTGGAAGATTAACATAGAACCTGAAAACCACTGGGTTGTAGAGGAAAGTAGCCTTCCAAAGGTCCATTTTCAGGTTCCAATGGGTGCCATGTTAATCTTCCCGGGTGTAGGGCCCTTGGTTTTGCAGCTGTGCATTGAGCTGTTCTTCACGCAGGATGGGAACTTCTGCCGCCGCTGCGGCCTGCGCCGACAGACAGTGCCCAGCTGCCCCAAGTGTGGTGCGAGAGTTAAGGCGCCATGGATGGCACACATGTTCCATCATTTTACCAAAACGTGTACATCCAGTAGGTATAGGTTGGTTTGGTTGGTTTGGCTCACGGGTCCAGTCCTTTTTAGTACATCAATGTGTGTCCTTTCCACTCAGAAGAAACTATTGCCAATGCGCCACCAACCACTCAACACGCCACAGAAGCCGCTGAAGGATAGAGTTTAGATGTTTGAACCTGTTTTGTTAAAATGGGTGGTCCATGACACCAAACCCAATCTGTCTCACGTGGAACTTGATACCAATATCAAACCAAATCCTTTTGATTGATTGCACATTGGTGGCTTCTGGTGTATGCTACATGCACTCAACTCACAGCTAAGCGTTTGACCACTCAGTTCACTGGATTCACCATCACTGAGTGGTGCTATGCCTGACAAACCGCCTGTCAGAAGAAAAGGCGACATATAAAATGAAACAACCTGTGGCTTTTCAAATCTCTGCAATGTTCCAGCCAGCCACATGGGTGCAGCGCCATGTCTGTGCGTTAATAAAAAGCATGGGGTGCATCTGGATGGTGGAACGCACCAGAGGAACTCATCACATGGTGTGGGTAGGTGTGGGTGACAGGTGGAACACTCACGATGAGTTCCATGACCATGAAGGCGTCGTTGGTCCTCACGTGGTGTCCATGTGATTTCCGGAGCGAGTCTGGGTCGTCCGTGTTAGGCGGGTTCTTGGAGAGGTAATTCTTCACCAGAGGCAATGAACTTCCTCCGAATTCAACGCAGGATCTAAGAAGATAAGGACCCTGTAGCTCTATAAATGCGTCCCTTGACTTAACCAAGGAGTTGATTACAGGATCGGTCTCGGCTCAGAGTTCTTCAATTGCTCGCCAGCAAGAATGTCTCCCCCATTCTGAAACAGACTCATGATTGCATATGATTGCCTTATATAACAGCCTTGGCCTTAACTCTTCCCCAGAATACGGATTTCCAATTGACCTTCGCATTGGCTCGAGGCCCCTGATCCCGGCCGGTGACCGGACGAATTCGATGCATGGTGAAGCAGCCGGTGCCCAATGGAGTGCGAAGGTATGTCGAAGAGATTCCTGTTTGGGGGGGCAATCATCTTGTAGGGACTTTTCAGGGAATCTGCGGAGATTCTAAGTCTATAGTAATTCAATGATATTCAATGTTAAGTATATTATATAAACAATACATCAATTGAATGGTTCATCTTGAGATTCTCAAGCATGCTTCTTCCAACTCATGGTCCAAGCAAGCAACGCATTTGACGGGGCCGTTCGCGGGTCAGAGATCACCGGAGCCGACCGTGGCAGCGCCGGAGCGCACCGAGCGGAGCGTCTCGCTGCTTCGCTCAGGGAGACCATGCGTAGACAGCCCGTCCGGCCCCGACAGAGCGGGGACGACCCGGTTCCGGGCGGCCAATGACGAAGAGCGCAGCAAGAGAACAGGTCGTTCTACTGAGGTGTTCTTGTGATTGATGAACTGAACAGCTTTTGGTGATCTGAACTGCGGAGCGGGGCAGAGCGATGCTCTTGTTTCCTGGCCTTGCTGGTAGAGACACTGCCCGGTGTTCATCCTCCAACAGCCCGTCCAATGAAGAGAAGCACTAAAGTCCTGGACAGTCAAATCATCCCGGAGTTCCGGATATTTGTCTTCGAAGATTCAGATGCCGTTTGCTCTGTGTTTTCCCTACAGGGCTTTGATCTTGCAAGCGCCTTTGGACATCCCCAGTATGGGAACACTTCATGGAGTTTCTAATCTCTCACCAAAACCACAGCAGGAGATCTCGACAAATCAACTTCGGCCAGGATCCCTCAGACGTTGCTGCTGGCCGCTGATGAGAACCTTCAGTGGGAAGCCAAGCGCTTTGATGAACACCGCTGCACCCACAGAATCCCAGTTCTGGCCGTCAGGCAGTCACGACAGAAAGTGGTTGTATTTTTGTCCACGCTACTTTAGATTGAAGACCTTTGGCGTGTGAAAAGTCACTTTAATCATGTTTAATCTATATAATACAAAATGTTTGGATAAAATGAGAGGTAAACCTCAGTAGTCGGTAGCAACGTGGATATTTTATATAAGCTTTATAAAGTTGTTTAGGCAAATTCAAGGAATCCTGCCAGAATATACACCAAACATCTCCAAACATATCCAACAGATCAACCTATAATCCAACCGGGCGCTCGTCGGGTGGCTTCCGCGTTGGTTGTTTTTTCATACCATGGAGGTTCCACGTCGCGTTTTCGCTCGCATGCGAACCGATCGACCTTTGCTCAAGCAGATCCCGCCGTGCAACAAACCAGGCTTCATTGTATATATAAACCCTGTGTTTGTCATGTTCTACTTGTACCCCTGCAAGCTCGCTGGAACCACCACACACTGTTGTGTGCCGCGGTCCCTTGCCGGGTGTTGATAGGGTGTGGGAGTCTCTTCCATGAGCATTATCATCTATCCATCACCCTCTCTATTACCTCAAGAAGAGATGCCTATTCAGGGGTTTGTGCCATATGCATTGGGCCACAGGGTGTCCAATGGACTACCCCACACTACCTATAGGCTTCCATTGGGCACCCCTTGGATGGTCCAGGTATGTTTCTAGTCAGCTGCAGCGCCGGGGCTGGAACGCTCCAAAGACTGGACACTAACTCAGACACTCCCAGGTGCGGTGCCCGAATCGCCTGGTTCTGCGCCTGGTTCAAGGGGCTCGTTTTTGGGACCGATTTACTTGCTGAATTAAAAAGCAAAGCAGCCACCTACTTTCCACAAAACCATTTGGCATCATTTGCCATTGGAAATAGATTCAAAAGATGTTTCCCTTCTGGTCACTGGTCCCCACGAATTTGTTTGTCCCTTGTCTTGGTCCCATTGGTCTGCCAGGCTTTGGCTATTGCTCTACCCTTCTTCGATCGCCTAAGACCCTCGATCGCACGCAAGAAGCCTCCAGAACGGTCATGAGTAAATACGGCGGTGTTCCTCTCACCGGTTGGTCCGTACAAGCTACGCCTCAGAGCGAACCATGAACGCCGACCACCCGCTCCGTCGCAGGCGGAAGCTCCGAGACTTCTGGGCCCGTCGGATGGAGCTTCCTCCAGGCGGGTACGGAGCGAAGGTTCCGGTGCAAGGCCGGCGGCCACGACCATGCCACAAGCCCAGTGGTAGTGGCTGAATGCTTTCCCAGACACCATGATCTTCAATGACATGAACGACCTGTGCAAAGGGCGTGCTTTCGATGCCAAGTGCCAGCACTGGATGTCTGTCCCAAAGGCTAGGACGGCTGGGAGGTTGAGAACACTTATGGTGGGTGGTGGGTGGTGGGTGGTGGGTGGGGGTGGGGGTGGGGGTGATGGGGGTGGTGGTGGTGATGGCGGTGATGATGGTGGTGGTGGTGGTCGTGGCGATGGTGGTGTTGGTGGTGGGGGTGATGTAGGTGGTGAAGGTACTCATGGCTGTGATATGCTGTGATTGTGGTGGTGGCGGTGATGGTCATGTTGGTGTTGATGGTGATGTTGATGGTGGTGATGGTTTAGGTCTAGGTCTAGGTTCAGAGGGGGCACATTCGCTTCGCCTCTTACGAAATTTGCACCTAAGGTCCACAAAATATACACTTCTGAACGGGGCCACCCTAGATTTCTTTATCTTTCCGGTAGCCGGCGCATCCTTTGTTGCCATGGCACAGGCATCCAAATCGTCAGCTCAGGCGAAGAAGGGTGCGAATAGCAAACATTCCAAGCAGCTCTCGGACAACGAGAGTGAGTTTTCTGAGGAGAGTATGGAGCTCATTGAAGAGATTGAGTTTGAGACAAAGTGGGTTCCAGAGCATGTGAATGAGGACATTCCGGTTCCAAAGGCCCTGGATTCTTTCAAGCAATGGTCGAAGACCGTGGTCACCATGGCCAAGTATCGTGAGAAGCATTGGTCGTTCGCAGAGATCGCACAGAATGGATGTTCAGATCCAGCCGTGAGGAAGTATTTGAGTTGGTTGATGAAGACCTACTCACAGGATGTTCCGATCAAAACCGACAAGAAAGGCAAGGTGTCTTACGGACCTATCGATATTCCTCATGGCCTGTGATTGGAAGGAGATGACGACTTCGGAAGCCACCAAAGACAACATCAAGATGCCAAAACGCAGTTTTCGCTCGAGACGTCCTCCGATTTCTGAAATTGACATGTCCAAAAGTCACGATTCCCAGCGCCTGCCACGAAATCAGAGCATGCCGAAGACCACCACCATGTCCACAGAATTGTCCTTCCCACGAAACCTGCACATCGACATAAAGCCGCTCCGATTTTCTTGCACCTGTCGCGAAAAGTTGACTTAAGACCAGGTTGGGATGCCTGGACAGGCTAGACCTCGGGATTTTTGTGGAGGGGCCTATCTTGAGTGCCCAGGGTGGGGCTGACAACTACTCCGACATGGAACCTGCTGAGAAAGTCCTGGGTTTTGCGGAGAAACATGAAAAAAAGTGATTCCTATTGTTCCAGCTGAGCGAAGGGCGTTATGTATTTAATATGTTGTTCCGGTTCCTGGGCGGCGAATCCAAGTATTTGAGAGGTACACAGCGTTTTGCACCTTAGCAGATCGTTGTTCCAGGCCCAGCCTTAGCTTTTGGCCACTCGGACGGTGAGGCTGGCTGTCGCTGCCGGGGTTTGGAATGAGTTGGAAGGGCTGACCCGTGGCCCACTGGGTTAAGTTCAGTTCATTCTTGTCCAGAGGGGTCACCTTAATACTGTTTGTGTGCGTTTCTCCTGGAAAGAGCCTGTGCATGTTTTTTTTACACGTATCCCGTATCCTTTCATATCAACTCTCCTGCCATCCAAGAGATGAATATATGTACGACCCCCATGGATTCTTGATTCCAAAGCTCAGGAGAAATTTGATCTTTGCCTTTGTTGATCTTCTTCTTTCTTTTGATTTGTCTTCTTATTTCAACACTGTTTCCTTAGTCCTGTTCCTGTTTTCACGAAATTCGCTTTTGTCATCCCAGAGCTCACTCCGTTGAGGAAACTCGATCCTGGTTCCAATGGCCTTTGGAAGACGAGGTGCCGAAAAAGGAAAGGGCAAGTCCCAGGGGCTTGGCTTCACGGGCGTACGGGTGATGATCCTCGGCGCTTTGCTCCTGGAGGGGCAGCTGGATCTATGTACCCACCCATATATGCAGCTGCAGCAGGCATGGAAGAATACCCGGAAGCAAAGATTCCCCTGTTCGTCCCAGCAGAAGCTGCTCCTGCACAGGCAGCCGCCCCAAAAGCTGCTGCAGGACCTCCCGGAGATGACGGTGGAGATGGAGCGGGTGGCGGGGCCGGAAATGCTGCAAATCCTGGCATGATTCTCAACCTGCCTCCGAACTTCACAAGCTTCACCTCATCGGCAGCACATATCCACAGGAGGAGGAGGATTTTCGGATGGCATTGACGAAGGGGTACCCCCGACTGACCACACCGTGTACCACTACGCTGATTTACCATCATCGGTCTTTATTGGCTACCCAGTTGAGAGGAACACGCACTACATTGGATTGAAGACAGACGGGTCAGCCAACAAGTCGATGTACAACTCGGCTCATTTCACTCGTGTGGGCGGCGGGGTGTGCCGCATGGAGTCGGCGGTCTTTCTTGCAGAGCTCCGCTTGAGGCTCGGGGTGGCGGAAGCTTCTTCCGACACTTGGTGCCCTCGGTGCGACTCGGTGCTCGACACCTTTTCCCTCCACGCTGGTGTTTGCGCTGCTGGTGGGGAGAGGACCTGTCGACACCATGCCGCCCGTGAGGTTGTGCTCCGCTGGGCAGACCGGGCTGGCTTGCAGCCTGAGCGGGAAAAACCCGAAGTGTTGCTCCCTCAGCGACCTGAAGACAGCCGCCTTGCTGCCCGGCGGCCTGCTGACATCTTCCTGCCCTTCTTTGGGGGCTCCCCAACCGCACTTGACATCGCCATCACGGCGCCACAGCGAAGGGAGAGCTTACTTGAGGCGGGCAAGGGAGGTGGGGTTGCAGCTGCAGCCTATGCCCGAGTGAAGGCCCAGCACTTGCAAACTGCCATTGTCTGTGAAAGGCAAGGGGTTCGCTTTCAGCCTGTGGTCTTCGAGTCCACCGGTGCTTTTGACGCAGCTACGGGCCATGTCTTGCAGCAGCTCGCCCGCGGGGTCGCAGCTCGCACCGGAGGTGATGCTTCGGAGCTGCATGGCCAACTCCTGCAAGAGTTGTGTAGCACCGTGAGGGCCTTTCGTGCCCGTGCGGCCCTCCGCCGCCGAGTGGAGCTTGGCGAGCATGCGGGGGTGCCTCGTGGAGTTGCTGCTGCGGCTGCAGTGCTGCGCGCTCCAGCGGAGGAGTCCTGAACCCCTTCTACTGAGCCAGGTCTGAAGCGGTGTTAGCTTTTCATGTTTTGTCTACTCCTTAGGCTGCTATTTTCCCTTTGGTGTTCTTCCTTTGTTTTGAAGGCACCACTGTTTGGTTTCCCCGCGTTTCTCTTTGTGTGGCTCCCGCTTTTTCGGTGCCGCCAGCGTGCGGCCGCCGGCGTCGGCTCCCAGCTTGGTTTTTTTTTCTCCCCTTGTGGGCGCATGCTGAGCATGAGGGACCCCACCTGCTGTGGAGAGCGGCCTTCCACTATGGATGGTTTCTACCGCTGGGTCAGCCTCCTCTTTTCTTTTGTTTTTGCAGGGTTTTGCCCCTTCAATGGAAGGCGCGTTTCCTATTTTGTACAGAGGTCCTGAATGATCCTTGTTCCCGGAGACTAGGGCCGAATGTACAGTAGTGCCTTGACTCCGAATATGTGCAAGATTTCCTATAGTAGACTGTTCTTCCATGTGAGAGAGCATATAAGCCCTCCAAATGGCATCTTGTTTGGCACCTCCTTCGATCTCCGATCTCGGCTCCACACCATGGGTATGATTCGGTAGAAAGAAACTCCTCCCCACTCGTCGAGGCGGAAGAGATTCTGTTCCTCTCTTTGGCGCTCTTGGAGGAACGGAGGCCACACCCGCCCCGCGTGAAACGGGGAGTCGGGGAGCGTTTCGGCACCTCGGTTTGTTTGGTCGGATTTTTCGGTGGAAAAGGGTTCCAAAGAACGAAACATGAAGCAGAAGAGTCTACAACCAAGACGTTCCAAGAAATTGCATAGTTATATATAATTAACATATGTTTTATATACCGTTATGAACCTATTTTGGGGTGGTTGATTTCAGGGGTTAGTGTCAATGAAACTGCGTGATGAAAGTCGAACCTTGCTGACAGTTTGCTGACAGCTTGACTTGTCAATCAACCATTAAAAGATCTGACACATGGATTTGGGACAATTGTAGTTGGGATCCAAGGATTTATATATCGGGGAGGTTGTGATGATTGGATGTACCATTTCAGGGAGAAAGCGTTGGCAAAGCGGCAATACCAGATTATGTGACCAAAAAGATACTTGCAATGCAAGACTCCAGACAACATTTAGAAACAGTAAGATGGCATCCCGAAGCTTTGGCGGAAGAAGACAATATGAGATGTAAAACGGGAGATGTGATCCCGTCCACCTGGATCAGTTTCAAGTCTTCATGTGCAAATCTTCAGATCGAGCGCTTGTGTTTATATGGCCTGAACATATTAATGGTGCTATAATGCGCTATATCTCTTCCAGAGATCATCCAAGATCTGCCAATGTTGCCCAGGAGAGATCCTCTCCACGCCTTCTTCCTGGCCACTGAGCACGAGGAGCCTCCCCTGGCCCTGAAGCTCACTGACAGGCTGTTTGGGTTGCGGATTACACCTGAAAGTGTTTTTGGGGTGAGGGAGGTATTGTACGCCTTCTAGCGGTCTTCCCTTGACCCCTTTGAGTTTTCGGGAAAAGGATGGGATGGCCGCCTATGGATGGCCCCCTGGGCGGATGAGGGGCACATGTGTCAGCTGCTTGGGGCGTGGTGGAATACGAACTTTTGCCATGTCATTCCTAAGGTGTGAGATTGGGAGCGGCTGACAGTGTACAGTGATGTACAGTGTACACTCCCCAAAGATTAAGAAAACAACAAGATGGACAGCAGAAACCCAGATCAACCAATTCCAGGGTTGTCATGTTGCACGCATTATTAAAAGGATGTTCAATCCAGTGCATCCAATAGGTACCATTTACACCAGGGTCTAAATATGTTTACAGTAGATGTATAGGTCTAAGGTGATGATTTTGAATTGCCGACATCGTATGTTCACTTGCTGGTCCTAATGTTTTTCCACTATGACCAGAGCCTTGACTTCATTTGAGCGCCGGCATTGAAAAGCCACGCTTTCACGTTCACGTTCGCTGGAATGAATCGGACCCGATGGCGTTTCCAATGTCGGACTGATGTCGGACCATTTTCATACGTAGCAACTGGTGGTGAACCCCACTTCCAACCGTGATTCCAGGGAGTGTAGTTCTATGATATATATGTGTTTTTTTGTTTTTGTTTTTGGAGGTCTGGGTCCACTGGATCAGCTGAAGGACGAGGAGACTTGAGGCATTGCAATGTCGATTTCGGATCTTGGAAGATGGAGTCAGCCCCGACACAACCACGACAACACCCGGAAAATGCCCATCTCAAGACACAGGAGCTGCGTATTGGACTCTGGAACCCATGGCTCCCAGATCCGGAACAAGTGGTAAAAAAGAACCGGTGGCATGTGGCTTTAGCCCAAGTCTTCCACATGTTTGTTGAGTTTGAGCCGGGAAAAGGCATCCGATCAGCTCCTTGGCTCGTCATCTGCGGTGCCGTCTGTTCGGTGCCAGGCAGATGTCGATTTTGGCACCGAGCCCCGGTGGGTCGATACACCTGGCGTTTCGACGAAGCGGTTGGAACCAACGGCCGCCGTGGCTTGACCGTGTCAAATACCCTTTAAAGCCATGGGGGCTGATCACCCATGGCTTTTCCCCATTTGGGTGGCTCACCCGGGGCTTTTCTGTTCTCCCCGTTTCTCCCTTCGGGTTGGGCTCCCCTCCATTCACCGTAGGGGATCATGTCAACTTGTGACTAGGGGCTTGAACAGGAAGGTTTCAGGAAAACAATTGAATTGGTTCAACCAAACGGGGTGAAGGATAACCCAATGCTGTGGAGGATAACCAAATTCTGGCCAATGCCAGATCACTTGATCGTGGTTGAGTTTCGGCAAGTCCATGTCAGTGGACATTCTGACAAATTCAGGAGCTTCAATTCAACACATTCAGACCAGAAAAGATACATCCGCATTGTTTGTACAGTGGGGGTTCAGATATTGCATCGATAATCCAAATCAAAACACCACGTGCGGATTGAAATTCCACGAGCCTGATGGTTGCAAATGTTGGCCGATGTCTCTAAAAAACACCGGGGCATTTGGGTCCCCATGACCTTCCATTTGGGTACGTGCAGGTGGTGACTCGAACACGTGAAAACCCGGTGTTTCACGACGTGAAACCGGACGGGTCGACCGCTCAGGTGGGCACCACTGTGGAAGCCTTGCCGCAGCAGGAAGACTTGAGACGCGGCGGTTGGGTCATGATGACAGAAGGGGATGGAGAAGTGGGTGCGACCCTCGTATGTTATGTTCATCATTCGACCATTGTACTAGTTGAGCTGTTGTGAACGGTTCAAGGTCGTTCGACGAGTCCAAGAGCGCATATTCGGAGCAAATTAACGTCGGAGCAGATCTTTTGAAGCCCATCTGATAGTGGATTATGTGCGTCCAGTGGCCATGCGTGAAGAGGGGCAGCACACGGCGGTTGGAATCTAAACCGTGCCAACGATACATTGAAACATGTTGAATTTTATGAGGACTGGATGTCCCAGATTCCCATCGATTTGGCGATTTTAAGCTCGGATGGTCTTCCGTGAATCCTTCAGATTGGCCCATGTTTGACCCTCTCCAGCCTCACCATCAGTGCACCGAGAAAGAAAGAACATGAAAGAGCACATGTTCAGTTCTCCTTGAACTCACTCAGCACAGACTTTGAACTCACTGTCTTCCTTGTTTGTTTTGTCGACTCCTTCTCTTCAGAGGAAGAACTGTTGGGAAAAAGTTTGTGGTAAATCACCCCCAATCTTCTGAATGCTCTTGGAACGATACCCTTACGGTGAATTCTGCCAAGGAAGTAACTATCCTGGGCCCTGGGTAGAAACCAGAGATTCCCAGGTCTCAACAAATATACCAGTCTTCCTCTTGAAGTTCTCAAACCGCTCGAGTACCACTCGCCCCCCTTCGGGCCGTTATGTAGCGTGAGGAGGTGGTGTAGGCAGAGAAGCGTTCTCTTCCTCGCGCTTAGCAAATCTTAGCGGCCGAACTTGACAAAGTAATTGGCGCTTCCAAATTACTCAAAACGCTGCATTATGATAGGTTTGTAGGGCCGTAGGGTTTGTGTCAGTGTGTGCATGCGTGTACGACCCCTGGAAAAAAGTCTTTGAGCTGGACATGAAATCGACAAACGGGCGGGCAGAAACATCCATCAACCTGTCCCCAGGTCCCAAGACCTTCGGGCAGATCAGCCGATCGGAACATGTCAGCACTTCCTCATCAGTCAGAGGGAACATAAGCCTCCAAAATAGGCTTCATCTCGCGAAGGATTCCGTGCCTTTCCGGGATTCGGCTAACGGTGGTCCGCCACTTCCGCACCGTTGCAGGCAAAGGACCTGCAAGATGCTTTGGTCTCTTTGGGGGAGGCACGGGCACTTGGCCCAAACTGGGCGGGCAGATGCGAGTCGTCGTCGGTGGAATGGAGAAGATCTTCAGTCAGTTCATCCTAGTTGAAAGCTTTGAACTGGGGTTTCCATAGTTCATCATAGAATCATATAGTTGAAAGTGTAGGAGGAGGACGTTTTCCCTGGTTGGGAGAGCATGTGTAGACATCAGATGCTCAGCTTGAGAGTTGAGGTGCTTAGATATCATCCCTTGTTTGGATCAATACAGTAGACACTGCTCAGTACACTCCTGCAGACAACCTGGTGGGATTCATATCCTCATTTTGCAATTATTCCTATGCGCATGCGCAAATATTTTAACTTAAAGATACTTAAAGTATGCAAATTATGGTGTGTTGGTGTTTATCATTTGAACCTACAAGATCAAGACAATGCATTGTTCTCAGGTATTCCCCTTCATACAGCACCTGACATGGACCCTGACAGGAAGCTCGTTTTGGAATCATCCGCCAACTCGGTGGGGCCGAGGCATCGTCCAACCGTGCCGTGCGCCCCGGCGCACCTGATGGCAGGACCCCATGGAGGCTGCTTGGGCACTAGGCGTGTCTCAGCAGCACTAGGCATGGATGTGGCTGAGACTAGGCATCGCTGCAGGCTCCTGCACAGTGGGCCATCACAGGTTAGGTGGCACCATCTCCAAGGTCGGTGGTTTATATGGACTCCCATTTGTCTAAGACATCTTGGGGTGCCAGTGCCATCGAGCCTCTGAAGGCGCAAAGTAGCTGAAGATGGTTGCTTGGCTTCACCCCCATGGCGCCCTGACACCAGTTGAAAGCCTTCACATCCGAATCACACGTCCCAGAGTGTTTGGAAAATCGTTTCCTGACCTGAAAATCCTGAAGGCTTTGAGTGGAAAAGCGGACATGCCATCAGAGGTGCATCATCAATGTAGTGCTTCCAAGTGGCCCAAGGCTGACCAGTGCAGTTGTTTCTGCAGGCTGAATTAAGAGCGACGACGCTGGTCCAAGCTCTCTTTGGACATTTGAGCCAGGAATCTGGACACCCGACGTCATCTTTGTCTTGCCAGGGCTCACTTTTTCCGCACTCAGGTGCGGCATGGCGCTCACCGATGGTGCTTGATATGACCCTAGGGCTCCAACCACCTCCCGAGAAGGTGGTTGGGGTGGGTTTGGGGGGGTCTAACCACCTTCTGAGGATGTGGTTGGAGCCCTAGGGTGACTAAAGGCGGCCATGTGTTCTGAACCAAAAATGCCGCCGAAACAGGTGTCCAGACCCCAGTCTCCGTCACATGTGGCTTTGAACGAAGTCTATATACTCCTAGTATCTCCTAGTCCGACGCTGCATATTCTGGATCATTCTGTCAGGTGCAGCTGTGTTGTTCACAGGCCCTTGGGGACACTTTTGGGCCGTTCCCCTGTGTTTGTCAAAGGGAGGCTTCAAGACTGGTGTCATGATGTGTTCTGATCGGGACTTTGCAAAGCGTGGAGATGGATGCACCCCCAGAAACAGCAGTGCAAGGAATTGTATCACGTAAATACTTACACGCATGATCACGCATTCATATTTATATATACTAAATTCAAGGGCTAAAAGCATCTGACATAGATATCACTGATATCACAGATTATTGACGATTGTGAATTCAATAGTTTTGATGTAGCTACTTTCGCTTGCAGATCTCTCGCGGCCACATGTGCTCCATCTCGTTCAACGCCCCGTTCAATGTGGGAACATCACCACTTCCAAAAGCGCTCTGTCCGGCACGAGTCCGGCAACCCCTAAGCACCTGCAACGTCGCTGTCGGGTGAACGTCGCCGTCTCGGTGCTCCGCGCGGAGCGACGCAGACGCCACGACCTCAGGTGGTCTTGCGGCGGGCGCAGCATGTGCTTTCGCCAGAGGAGACCGGGGACGGCAAGGGGAGACTGGGGGCCAGCGCAACTTGTTCATGAAGAGGTTTTACAATCCAAATGGCGGGTTATGTGTTAAACAAGAGTATAATAGCGAGCATACATTGCTTTCACAGAAGTGGCTCGAAGTCAGTCGAGCACATCGTCTATGTCTCTAACTTGATCCTTTGGATCACAGTTTTACATTCGCGCGAACGCGATGACGCTCCTCCGCGCCGACTCCACGCCCGGACGGCGGGTACCAGGACGGTGGGCGGCGGCTTCGCTTGGCCAAAGTGCCGCAGCTGCTGGTGCTGAGCGACTGAGTCGAGTTCAGCGGGAGGGGGAGGAACGTTGGGCTGAAGGCTGAAAGATGGGTTTGAGGTGGAGAAAGCCGCGGAGGTTCTTTAAAACTCTAGAGGTTGGTGGGTTCTGCCTTTTTGGGGTTCTGGTGGTTTTGAAATAGATATGATACAGATGATCGCAACATTACTAATAACAACAGCAACAACCTTGTGTTGGTGATCATTTGATTCACAAGACGTTGTACCTTTTTTTTGCGAGTATTGACTCTGCTCATTGGCCCGGCCATCATCTAAGACAAAATCACTGCAGGTATCCCAGACACTCCATGTATGCCATATATTATATGCCGACCAGTTGGGGTGGTTTTGGGGGTCAATGGGGCGGCATATATGGCAGTCCCATGGGTCGTGTCTGGGGAATGCAAATTCTGTTGTTAGTCCACGTAGCGCCCGCGCATCCACTCAGTACTGGCAGTGGAAACTGAAAAAGAACATCCCGCAAACAAGCAGAAGCTATCATAGGTTTGGAAAGATCAAAGCGTACGATCACCTTGCAGATGTAGCCCATGAGATACTATGAGTCAGTTGATTTTAACAAGGTGAGATGGTGAACCCAGCTGGTTCATTTGGCCTTCAGGCTTTTGTCATGTCAGACCAGGCTTCGATGTCGGTGTTTCCCCTAAGGGGATCGGTGGACATCAACCTGGCTGAACTGCTGGAGCCATCTCAACCGACTTGACCGGAAAAACAGGTGGCAAGATGGATGGGTAGACCTCGATGCCAATCAGCCAAGGTTGGGCCAAAAAGGCCCCCAAAAGGGCCAAAACCAGGAATAATTGATATCATGTTATATCATCTATGTAGACTCTTGAACAATCTTGAAAGCATTTGAACCAACAAAAATTACTCAAGAGCGTTTATAAGGAACGGCATTCTTTTCGGACTTGTTTTTTGTTCAACTTGTTCTGTGCCTTTTATTTACAGCCTTCGGCATGCCGCCGGCCACCAGCTCGAGCCCGCATTGGCAAGCAGCTTAATGATACAATACCCTGCTCAATCATACTTGTTGGTGCATTGGAGGTGCACATTTGGCTGGGTGAGTTTGTTGATGTTTATTTCAAGGTTGTTTGACCATGAAATGGAACAAATCCGAATCAGAGGTTGTCTATTCTGATCCAGCGATCCGAACCGGCATGTCTCAGTCGAATCACCTAAGAGGAACCAAGTGAAACCAACACAAGCAATGCGAACCAAGACTATCCACAAAACATGACCTTGAAAACGATTCTTCTTCCAAACTACTTGGCCGTGTGCATGTGTTCCTTTTCAGATCTTTTTTTCGACCATCTCGAGGGATTGCGACACGCACCAGATATTCTTTTTCACACACAGAAGGCTTCAAAGCGACCGAAGAATTTCTAGATCTGGCATGATTTGTCGTTTTTTCTCCAAACCGTTTGAAATGAAAGACCCAGAATGACATCGAACAACAATACCCTGCTCGATCAGACTTGTGGGTGCATTGGAGTTGCACATTTTGCTGGGAGAGTTTGTTGCTGTGGATTTCAAGCGAAGTCGTTTTACAATGAAATGGAACGAATCCGAATCAGAGGTTGTCTATTCTGATCCAGCGATCGACATGTCTCAGTCCAATGGTTGTCTATTCTGATCCAGCGACCTACTACCTACTACCTACTACCTACTACGTACCACCTACTACCTACGACCTACGACCTATGACCTACGACCTACTACCTACTACCTACTACCTGCGACCTACGACCTACGACCTATGACCTACGACCTACTACCTACTACCTACTACGTACCACCTACTACCTACTACCTACTACCTGCTACCTACTACCTACTACTGCTGCTACTACTGCTGCTACTACTACCACCACCACTACCGGGGGGGGGGGCGTCAGGCTGTCGAAAATCTCGCGCGGAGAGACAATACTCAAGCAATACTAAACCAATACAAGCAATACTAACCAAAACAATCCACAAAACACGCCGGCAGGCCGGCGGATTCTGGGAGTGTTTTTGTTTGCCTTTTGTTTTTCCTGTGCTTTCGCTTCTGCTTCTGCTTTTGTTTCTGCTTTTGCTTGTGCTTTTTCTTTCCCTTCGGCTTCTGCGTTTTGCTTTTGCTTCTGCTTTTTTTTGCTGCATGTGCTTTT